TCCCCCCCCCCCAATATGTTTTTATGTCATTTCTTAGTCTTTAGTACTTTGTTTGTTCGTATTCGTAGCTTTTTATCTCTTTTCTTTTTCGTTCTTTAGTACTAGTGTTTATAATTGCAGGGCATTTGGTACGTATCGTTGTCGTGGACGTGAACCACTTGATACAAATTTTTGTACCGAAATCAAGACACTCCCTTCGTATTCGGAGTAGCTGAGCTCAGGTGAAGCCATGAAGAAACATATTTCATACTCTAGAAATGTAATAATATTACGAATTTATAACCTGGCCTTAAGTAATTGAAAGAGAGAATCCCTAGCAATTTCCGTAATTCTTTGCTCTGTGATTGATTGAATGTGTTGTCGAGACCTTCTTGAATGCCATTTTGTTCAGCTGCAGAGTGCTCTTGTACCTGTGTCCACTTGGTGCACCAGCGTTGCAATACCCTTACAAGTGTTCTTTGAAAGCCAAATAACCACGTAATTCTCTGGGACTTGTTTATGTCCTTCGTGTTTTGCAGTACGCACTTGAAAGGAGAACACCTCAGGGTCATAGCCACAAATAATAGGAACGCCATAGCTCATGTTCCACCGAACTAGCAGGTCACAATTGCAAATAAGATTGTGTTAACTGCTTTGTTTGCATATCTCGCGAGGTTGGAATTGAATACTTTATGCCTCTGCATTAATTTTTATTCAGTAGTAATTGATACTTAGATAATTTGACTACCCGTTCTTCAAGTGCCTGAGCACTGCGGGTCCCAACTTTTCGTTGGCTTTGATCTATAGACATTTTGGTAGGACTCCTTGGACGAGGTTATTCGGTAGTTTTAAGTGTAATTTAACGGATCTCGGTCTAGACTTTGTTCTGTATTACCGGCGTAAGTCATTACAGTTATTGAAATTTTCGCACAGAGACCCTCTACCCTGACAGGGTTTTGGCTGGTTTTCTTAGTCCCTTCTGTAAATGCAGGGTTAGTACCACAAGTTAGGCCACGGCTGCTGCCCGAAATATTCTTTCCAGTTAATTATTCATTACCACCCTACCTTTCGGTTCTAGCACCTGACAGCATCGTTCTTCTTTACATTGCACCAGCGTTTTGGCCCCTCTTATGTGGCTTCTAAAACATTATTGTGGTTGTGTTTAAACTGATTGTTAATCGTTGTGCACTGGACGTGACCAGAATGAGCTGATAATTTTTGTATGCTAGTGCCGTTCTTCAGCAGTGATATTTCTCTTGACTGCAAAGATTCCGTGGTCTGTGTCCATAGTATATTGAGCATTTACAGAGTTACTCATATTGATTTAGTTTGCAATGATGAATTGATTAGGTTCTTCTTGCAGCTGCAGTAAGAAAAGTTTGTCCTTTTTATAACATACTCAGTTATACGAGATATTTAGAAGAATGCAAAATTTGTTGTCAACTATCTGACGTGTGGATGTGCTGTTTTGGATATTGAATATGTTTTAATTTTTGTCCGGAGGCAGAGGATATTTCCTCTAGTCTCTGCGACCAAACCGGCTCTGGGGACCACCCATTCTCCTATCCAGTGGGTACCGGGGTTCTTTGCCGGGGCGTGATGCTGACTACGCTGCCTTAAGTTTTTCTTCTGGTTCAATGAGTCGTTACTTAAAAATTAAAATACCGTTAAATATCTTGAAATATCCATGACCTTCTTTATACATCTTTCTCAATTTTTCAAATCAGAATCTTCGTATTCGGCTTTATACAACATCTGCAGTTGAAAAACTGTCGTTAAATAACCAGAAAAACAGAAGGGCTTTAGTGGTCATATTGGAACATAGAGAAGGTCAGTGCTTCTCTTTTACATAAAGTTTATATTGAGGCCATTGGAAGAACTCTTTCTTGGCACGCTTGGTTACTTTTGTAATTGCAGTTTGTTTATTTGGACAGAAGCTTTCTATTGATCGTTCCCGATGTACATCTATTTACATCTCCATTAGTCTGCTAGTAAAATTTAGGAACTTTATACACATATCAAACAAGAAGGAAAATGTGCACGATTAAACCGTACTAATGGATCCTTTGATTTTCAATATTATGCTGAATTTAACAGGTTCATAAATTAAAGGCTTGTGCTCAGAATCAATTTACAACGTTAAGTATTTGCATAATTACGTTCTGCAAGCTTTACTGTAAATATTTGGTTTTGCTATTAATATTTAAGAGCATACATATGTACCTGATTTTAGCCAGCGAAAGAAAGCGGGGGTCATAAATGTTGAATATAACTCAAATTCATGTTTTATCGATAAATGGGCTTAATATATAATTTCACAAAAGTCCGGCAGAGATCTGGAGAGTTGGTCGCTAGATAGGCAAAAAAATGTGGACGAACACAATTTCACTGTATAAACCATTTGAAACCTCTTTAATGTGCTTCATTCGGTTGCCATATAACTGTGTGGTCTATTTCTAATACTTTTTGGTAATCCACTCTGTTGTCTTGTTGTTAGTCTTTTTATCTCATCCATTATCAAGTCGAACACTTCAGGTCATGAAAAACTTCCCTCTAAAAATTTGGAAAACTTTTGTTTTCTTTTTTCCTTTTGTTTTGCCATCTGTGACCCAACTATTTTCTAATTTGCCCTTTCCGTTAGACCTTTCTATGTATTTACCCCGTATAACGGTTTCCAAATTTCATGACTGTTTATACTATCACATGCCTTCTTAAGATAGTTTAAAAACCAAACTCATATTTCAAATTTATATATTTTTTATAATGTCTGTCGCATTGCAAAAATTAAATCAACCGGAGACCTGTCATCTCAAAGACCATACTGTTTTTCCATCACTTACTTTTTATTTGTTCCTCAGTTCAAATTTACGATTAACTCATACGTACATTCTACTATAGAAGTACACTTACTTTAATCAGTATCCTCGGAATTTGAAAACTGCAAATACAGCAGTTACTAATCTTTTGAAGCCATGGTTTCCGAATCGTCATATACATATTAAATGTACTTCACACAAAGTCCTTCTCTCAAAACAACCCATACGTGAAATGTGCGTCAATGAACGTTTCGCGAGCTATTTATTTGATTGTCAAACATTTTTTCCACGTCCGACAGATCTGTGTCAGGTCCTGTCTCGCTGTTTTTAAGGCTGACAAAATGTTTCCATCCATATAAATAATATTCCCGAACAGAATGGTTGTATAATAAATATTAATTTAAATTTGTTTTTATAATAATAGTGACATTTATGTTCCCATGAGTTATGCGGATTAATTTTGTTGTTAGTAATGCCATTTATGCTGGTTATCAAGAGTATTTCTTTTGATTTTGGAGATAATTTGGAAGTGGTATTCGTCGTGTTTGTAAGGCATAGATCAATTTATTTTATTTTATCTCCGTTTAATACAGAGTTGTGTAACTTATATTATCGTCTGTAGATACTGTAACGCACAGGTTACAGCCAACAGTCGCCCAGCCACTCATGAATTTCCCAACATTTTATGGAACCCGAAGGTTCATTACCGTGTTCACAAGAGCCCACCACTGGTACCTATCCTGAGCCAGATGAATCTAGTCCATACCACCCCATCTTATTTCTCCAAGATCCATTTTAATATTATCTTCATACCTACGTCTAGGTCTTGCTAGTGGTCTCTTTCCTCCTGGTTTACCACCAAAACTCTGTATGCATTACTCTTCTCTCCCATGTGGGCTACATGCCCTGTTCATCTCATCCTCTTTGTCTTCATCTGTCTAATTGCATTTGGTGGTAAGTATAACGTATGAAGATCCTCATTACGCAACTTTCTCCAGCCTCCTGGTAATTCATCTCTCTTGGGTCCAAATATTCTCCTCAGTACCTTGTTATCAAACACACAAGTTAGAATTATAATAATATTTTACAATTTTGAACATTATAATTCTGTTTCTTGTTATTGCTTCTTGGTGTAGGAATAAATGGTAAGTGAGAATCGTTTTCGATTTTGTAGTTTTGTTCCGCATGGCTGTTGTAGTGGGTAGATTGTGAAATTATTGCTCGATTTCTTATTGTCGTTAGTTTTGTTACATTGTTTTTATAATTAACTGTAAGCCTCCTAGTTTGTCCGAGACATGCGGATGTTTTCAATGGAATTGATTGGGACTGTTTTTCGTCTGTTTAGTTGGACGAAGCTTTTAGTACCTCTACACCTGTGAATCTAGCTACAGTGTGATGGTTGTAAGTTTATTTTGTTTAATGATTATCATCCTGTAATGGATCTGCGTATACCGTGATTTGTATTTTGATGGCAGTTCTGTGTATTTGTTTCTTATCCAGATTTTGTTCATAAAGAAAATCAAGGTATTCTGTTGAAAAGTATTAGATGTTTTAAAGACGCAATATACATCTCATTGTTGTACTCAGTATAGTGAGACATTATTAATACGGATACTTTCACTTATAGGCTTTCTGTATGAACATATTAAGATGTGATATGGTGAAAACATTCAATAGAAACATGACGTCTTTTTCATATCCGTTTTAGTTTCTACGAATATCACTATGATGGAAGACAGGACAGAAACATGGCGTTTATTTATTTGTCAAGTGAATTTTGAATTAGCCCATCTTACTACGGCGTATGTATCAAAAGCAGATTCATGATGGATTTAAATGTTGCGCCCCTTTGGAGAAATATGAAACTCTCTATTATGTTTTAGGAAGATACAGTGAAACTTCTCTACGTTTTTAGCTCCTGTTTCTTTTGACTATGGTCAAAACAGATGGCAAACCTTCAGCAAATCGACACATAGCTAATGGATGACAGGCATTACCCTTCTTAATATAGAATGCCAGAATCCTCTCGCTTTGTAGAATACCTCAAGTGTGCTACATTTTCGGTACGTTGCCTTTTTGTAAATTACACGTAAATTTGAAAATAGACGTCAGAACTGACTGTTAGCAAAAGTTACAGGCATAAAATTACATTCTTTGAGATAATCTGATTTCCTTGTAGTTGTAATTGAAACTAACTATCGTCTCTGCCCAGTGTGTGGGTTGTCTGCTTCATATTCGGGAAGCCCCGTTTCAATTATCTCCGGAGTCTGGGCCTCTAATGGCCATTAATTACTGGCTGTTTATTTGTATACCATTTTAAAAAATGCTATATCAACTGCATATGTTTAACGTGAAATTATATATGTTATTATATTATATGAAATAAAAAATATGTTTAACGAGCCTCTGGAAGAACCGGACGTGAGACATTGTAAGATGATTTCACAGACGTTGCCTTGATGTATTGAGATAAACAGAAGGACCTCTCAGGACAATTGCCGTCCCTGCCTAGATTGGTAATAACTTTTGAAATATCCATTACACTCGGAGTCTGTAATTAGCCACGATTCCAGAGTCCATGTAGCAGACAAATTTGCTCTTCATATAAGGATAAGGTAATGAAAACAGTTAATGTAGCCCTCAGCGTATCCTTTTAGCTACTGCCTCTCCTAGCAGCTTAACGTACGAAAATTTAACTTACTAAAATAGCTTTGAGGCGCTGTTAAACATGCACCAAGACCATAGTCACTCCGTTTACATGCGAAAGTATTGGTGCCAAGCTTTTCGGAAGCCTGCTAATCTCCCCAAAGTCTGAACTCCTTATTTGTTTTGGGTGTTGTATATTGCCTGTAGCTGATATTTCAGCGCTGTCTTCGTGTTACAGATCACTTTAATGACAGACGTAACCAAAATAAATTGTTACCGATGACATTAGTATGGGAGTGTTTGTATTACTTATAGTTTTCTAAAGACGCTTTCAGTAGTTCAGTTATTTGTAATTTACTTAACGATGCTGTTAGTAGCGCACTCGTATATAGCGTCGAATGATATGGTGATTAATGAATTGGAAATGATTTGTAAGGAAGCGGCCGTGGACTTATTTAGGTTACTATCACAGAATTTACTTATATAGACTGTGGGAGACCACTTGTAAACTCAAGTCAAAATAACTAGTCTCCTAGCCGAGATTTCAAACAGGTACTTTCTGAATACGAAGCGGGAGTGATACTCATTCGACTTCGACGTTCGGTGGAAGGAAGTAGAACCAACCTCGAAATGTGTGTTAAATATCCCTCATTTATTGGAGAGAGTTCATCAGTTGCGCAGTGATCACTTCAACCGTTCCCATAGACCTAATCGTAAACAGGAAGCCCAAACTACGAGTAGCAGGTAGATACGAACTTTTCGGAGAAGTTACTGCTTCCATCTTCAGAGTTGAAGTAGGCAGCGTGTTTCTCCGAAACTTCGGCGTATCTCGGCGTAGAAAATCAGAAGCTCGATTGAGTAAGAAGTGATTGCTGCTCGAAACTAGTGGGAGATCAGTGTCGTTGTGTCAATCATACCAACCCCCCTCGGGGAAGGAATGACGATGATAAGTGACGCGCCAAGTGTAGATTTGTGTTCAGTACATACGACCATTGAATAAGATCATGTTTTCATAGAGTCCGGGTTTGTAGGAACAGAATTACTACCTAGAAGATAACGATAAAGATAGCTTCATTAGACTTGGGAGTTTTTGGTTTCTAGCAACTATTCTTGCCGTCCTTAAGGATATTATGTGTAATTGAGTTTCGAATAGTTTGTAATGTTCTTTAATATATATCGTTTTGAAAATGGTAATTCATATGGTGTAGGACAAAATGATGTGTCTGATGTATTGCCACCATGGAGCGCTTTATATTATCATATATGTATATAATCTGAACCAGCTTGAGGGATGGAACTCTAAAACTTGCTGGTGGACAAATGAATAATTTTCATATGCTTGTAAATAAAAACAAGATGGATGTGGTCAAAGTGACCTGCTGTCAGTATTAACGAAAAATGTGAAAGGAGAGTGCAAATAGGTTTGGGCACAAACAGATACAAAAAGAACTGGGAATTCTGAGAGGCAACAGCCTGCAATCGACTTTTCAATAAATATACGAAAAAAGGATAAAACAGTGACGTGGGTGTTTAGTATGTGCTGCCTCTTTGCGGTAAGAAGATGAATCTCGGTGTTGTGTTTGTTTTCCCTTCGACCTGAACGCTCTCTGCGAGAGTTTCCCTCAACTAAACGAGCTCTCTGTTGGGTACTTCGGTTAAAATCGATTAAGAGACGTCGAGTTTGTGAGAAGAGAGAAGCCTTATTTTGGGAACTTGAGATGAAATTGCTAACCGCATGGGAGACAGCGGTGAAATCTTCGTTCCCCTAAAATAATTAAATATAAAAGAGGAATAGAAAGGATTAAAATCGACTTTGTCACACTTTTTCTCGGGTATGAAAATGTCCTAGAAGGTATTCGTCGCAGAAAAAGGTGTTGTTTTGTTAAATATTACTTTTTTAGACTATTTTTGCTTGATATAAATGCAAAAACTGTGAGATTTCTGCATGCGTGGTCTTGCAAATTTGTAATTTTGTAGCGTTGTGTTTTGTTCATATCAGACTGAAAGTGTGTTCCAAACATACCAGCGATTCAGATATCCTTAAAAATTTTCCATGTCTGAAAATAATACAGTAATCCATGCCGTCCCAGATTATGCAGGTTGAATACCCTCGCAAAAGGCGCGACAGTTAAGCAGACATTTTTCGCTCAAGACAGAGCGTGAGGAATATGTAGAAACAAACAAAATAATGGATAAAGTTATTTTTACATTGCTATATTACGCCTATGATGTTAAGATGACGCAGTGTTTTGGTTTCTGGTGTGGTGTTACTGTCCTGTGTGATCTGTGGTTGTGATCTACTGCTGGTCTGGTGTCCTGTTAGGACCTCCGACATTGCGGCTTTCAGCATCGCCCGGCTTACCTCCGGATTCACTGGCGTTGCGGCGTAATTTGGAGTTGTTAGAGGCTTTGTGGTTTGGCGTGTATTTGCGTGGCGTGAGATGGCTCCGCTCTGTCTTATTCTGATATGACTCAGTTGGCCTTTCCATGGCTAGTCTTGTGGCGAGGCTTGGCTTGACATTGGGACGCACTGTGTCATGAAACTCTGATATCTTGGAGTCACATTGTTCTAAGTCGCGATTCTCCCTGCCTCGATGGACGTCAGGTTGCTAACCGTGGCTTTGTCCCCTGTACACCTACGGACTTTGGCGCCGCGACGATAGGTGTCTCGACGATCGACGTCGCTTTACCTGTCTTTGAGTGTCTTTGCGTCACGTAACTTCGAACCCAGGACAGTTTTCGGTGGTATGGCGTTTGTTTCTATAGCCCTCCTTTTGAAATAAACGATTTTGGTCTTGACGCCGTTCTTTTGTCTTGCTATTTTCCGAGCTACGGAAACAATCTCCACTGGAAATCGAAACCAGAATAATTTTTCTGGTTTCTCAACTTCGAGACAAACTGCTTTGGTCCAGGCTCTATTCTTCTATCGTGCTTAGTTTGCGAGCTACGAGAAACGCCCTTAGCTAGAATCTAACTCAGGACACTTTCTGGAGGTTTGACCCTGATATGATCTCAAGAAATAAGCATGCCACATTTGGTTCTCATCTGTATGTCTGTATTCTAACTGTAGTTAAATAAACACACGGACCCACAATTTCAACTTCATATGAAATATGTGTAATCGAGCTTCGGCTTTAGATGGTTAATCTTTTCCCAGTTTTGTATTTTCGCCGTAGTGGGTCGGCAACTTCTCCGGCAGATTTGTTGCTCGGGTACTCTAAATGAGAAGCTGCAGGCGGTGTGCTCTGTCCTGGATTCTTCACGTATAAGACAAAGTTTGCTTCTAGCTTCGCTAATACTTCATATTTATGAAAGACGGACAACTTTCTTGCATGACCAATAAGTTGAAACAGTTATATAGTCGAAGTATTAAAAGTATTTAAATAGAAACAGTCAGTTGAGTGATATTTAATGATAAGAGGTCCCCTACTGAATGTACACTTCGTCGACGTGGAAACTAGTTCAGCAGAGAAAATTCGTGCTTTAGAGTTACCAAGTA